ATGTAGTTTTAATATAATAATACATAATATTTTTTGTTTATAATAGCGATGAAACTTTATTCGTTATGTTAATATTGTTAATATTGTGTGTTTCTAGAGTATTTTCATAAAAATAAAATAGAGATAATTATTTAAAATAAAATATACCATGCAATGTCGTTATTGGATAATTATAATTTCGCTAATCTTGAATAATATACTTTTCTCCAACGTAAATAATGTTCCTCGACAATACTCTCGCTTGATCTATCAAAATAATTGTTATTAAAATACGATTATAATATCATATTGAACGTCTTTGTTTTTATGCTTGAGTTGCTCAGATTTTCGAAAAATTGGTTAAAAAAACAAAAATCACGAGAGCTGATCACCAAAAAATATAGCGTCTGGTTTTTACTTTCGTCGTTATGGCATTTTCCAAAATCTCAGAACTGTGTAAATTATGTCTTACGGTCATGAATCAATTTAATGAATTCATGATTTCCTCTCGATTTGCTTTCATTATCATCTCCTTCCTATATATCACGATAACACAGCTGATGATCTACTTCTTTTACCGTGTTATTTATACACGAACTAACTGATCTCTATGGCAAACTACAATGCATACGAGTAGAATATTTTGGTAGTTAACACACCTTTTCTTCAGGTAAATGTTTCCTCAGACCACAAATATTCGAATATTTATGCACATTTTATAATATTTAAAAGGATAAGTTCTACTTTTCCAATGTATCATCTGTCCACTTTCGTTTGTCCTCTTTACTATTCTTCACTCTTCAATTTACCATACATCAATTGCTTCAGGAATAATATAATTTCTAAAGACAAACTATACATACGGATTTATATAAATTCAGAAAAAAAAGCCGACTATAGGATGAACAAAAAGCATCGATTTCAACACTAACGTCTAATTAACGAAATTGTATTAAAGAGAGATTATATTTCTTTTAACGGAAGAATGAAAATGTGAGTTAAATTTATTATAGTGTACAGTTGTATAACTATTATTATTAATTAATAATGTTTACATCTATGTGATGATGTATAAATGTCTTATTTTCGGGGATAAACGTAGGTTATACAAAATAATACCAATTTCACTATTTGTATTAATTTATTATTAGTTTTAACTGTATTGAAAACTACAGCTTTGTTATTAGTATGCCATCACTTAGTTATTACAAATGATGTATGTCATTATTTTTTATTGTATGATATAAATAATATAATATCATCTTTGTATAAATTCATACTAATATTCTTTATAAACAATCACCACTTTATTGAATATGCTTTTCGGGCAGTTTTTTATATACGTGACAAAAACCACATTTTTTGATTAATTTCGATATTTAAAAGCTATTTATTAAAATAGTCTTGTCAACTTATTGTTGTTGTTTATATGATGTTTTTTTTTTTTTTTTTTTAACTATATATCGCTTAACGATTTTAGCAACATCAGTATTATTTGAACGAGATTTAGGATCCAAAAGCACGTCATATTATTATTATTATGCTTAGCCAAGCACTCTTCTCGTATACACATACGTATCTATACTTATTACTTGTGTGTCTCCGTCACGTGCATGCAAAATTTAAATTGCGATTTAATAACCAACTCATGCACAATAGTTGTTACTGATACTTGTAATTTAATCTCAACCACTCATAACTGAAGTATTCGTGATAATTAATGTAAAGGATTTTATCGGGAATTTTTTTTTACAATGAAACCTCGTTGCTCTAGTTCGATCATAAAGTATTGTTTTACACGATACAATAATACGTTTATATGTGTACTCTACACCCAAAAACAAGGATATAGTATTAGACGATACATTTCATCTTTAATCGTAATAGATATTATGTTATATGATTGACCATCCCATGGAAACTTTAAGATAACGATCGGAGTTACTTTGATATTTTCAGTAATTTGCAGTTATCTTATTGAAACACTATGTTGTCTACGACCCGTAGACATGTATTATAATACCTATTATATTATACTAATCGTCTTTTTTATAATAAGTTTGATTTAAAATTCTTTTTGAATTTTTTTTTATAAATATTATAAGGTAACTATGAAATTTTAAACTTGTCTAAAAAAGTTATGCAAAAAAATAATAATAACTACTTAATTTGTATATATTGCAATGATATATTACCTAGATTCACAGAATGTAATTTAGTACGCTTCTAATTGCTATTATATGCCAATTACACCACTATTGTTTTTCTTCTATATCACGCCACGGGGGTAATCTTTCTTGATAGTATAACATCAACGTTGGAACATAATCTTCAACGGAGTCTTCGTATTTCAAAGTGACGCCATTTTGTGACAAATTCAAATTTTTGTTCAACTCATTGCCTAAATACTTCATTATATAGTCATATATTTTTGGATTATACACTTTATAACGTTCCATTATTCGTTGAACGGTATCCTCTAAACATATCTAAAACGTGTTGATGCAACGGATATTATAGTCAAATGTTATATTATTTTATATGTTATTTAGAAATTGCGACCAGTGCAACACTAATTTATTATAAAATAAATACACGACAGATGTAGCTGTACCGTCGCTGTTTTAATATTGATAGTAAAGTTTAAAAAAATAAATATTAATTGATTAAATTAGCTTAATTGGATCTTTTCAATGAATTGACTGATTTATTTAAATCGTACCTTTATCGTTACACTCCGTTTTATGAGCGGATTAGTAATTTGAATGTTAATAGGTCTGACCGTCTCCATACCAACGTTATATTTGTCGTCCGCCCACCACGGTGTCGTGTTTATGTCCGGTTCCCAGTTCACGTCCGGTTCGAATTTTGGTTCGTAGGGTATCCTAAATGGTAGTAAAGATACGAGGGCGCCGGTTGCGGGGAGAAGTTGCGTTTTTAGCTATATTATGAATAGATACAGAAAGTGAATATCAAGTCGTTAGTTTACGTGTATAAGCGACTGCATAGTTTAAGAATCACAATAATATTAGGATAGTCCTTTATTTTATTGCACTAAAATAAATCAGAATTCGTAAAATTAAGTAAAAATTTAACAATTGTATATTAATGTATAATGTATACGAATATTAATTAATTAAAACAAACATAATAACCTATTAGTTTAAGTGAGTTAATTGCTAATTAACGTCAAAAACATAATATTTGTGGATGAATAGATTTGAAGAATAAACATATATTTTGTATATTTATTAAAATGAAAAAAAAGATAATAGCTTAACTGCACTCGGGTAAAAAATAGATAATTTTTGAATTTCACTCAATAAGAAAAGGTTTAAATAGAAGTATTTGAAAAATAAATTTATTAACGTTAAAAATGTTACATATCTTGATTACAAACATTATTGCATATTTAATAGCATTAAATTGGTTCGTTAATATAATTTAGAATTGTAAATAATGTGGATAATTATTGTTCGATGTGAATTAATACATAACTACGAAAAACCATTTCATTTACCTCGAAAAATAATTTTAATTTCAGCAAAAAGAAAAGTAGCTGATTAAAGTATTTATGGAATATTAAAAATTATTAAGGAAGAATTTATCAGCGCTCCTCTAGAATTAATATAATTAATAAATAATAATAAGATAAATCGAGTAGGAAAACATATTTTCCATAAATATTGAAAAAACTTCAGTTTTACCGAAATCTCTATCTCATATAACACTATTATTCAAATATATTTATATTTATTGATGTTTTAACACAATTAAAAATAAATACTTATACTTAACAATAAATATTAACACAAGACACTAAACTACATGGTGCTAGACAAAAATAAATAAAATTGTTTATTAGGAATACATTAACTTATATGTTCAACAATTAATTACTAGGTAGGTTATAGATATTGAACTATATTTGTTATAATTATTACAGAGAATATAATTGACAAGTTTAAAAAAATGTTTAAAAAAAATAAACATTTCACATTTATAACATTTAAATACAAATATTAACTCAATTATTTGTTTTTAACCACACCGATGAATACAACTATTGTCAGTCCTAAGCCTGTAAATTGGATGGGAAATAAGTATTTTATAAACATCTAACCCCTTCAAATGCATTATATTTCTGTCAAAATTTATTTTTTTATGTTTAAGTACAATTAAACCAATACTTGTTATTTGCCCGAGCGCAGTTTAACCATTACTTGTTTTTTACCTGAGTGCTGTTCCACTTAAATAATTGCAATTCTACCCATACCCCTAAAACAAATTGAATCTTAAATCTAAGCGATAATGTTTATAAAAATATAAACATTTTTAAGATGATTTGTTTTAAAACATTATTGTTTACAATAAATATAATCATGAGCATGTTACTGTGCTCACGATAATTTCGCCGAGGCCATTAAGTTCGAACCAGTAAGATACGTCTTGTCCGGCTTCTCGGAGTATTGGGTTTACAAGATCTGCATCGTGACAAAACTCCTCAATTAATCCGGAGATGTTTTTTATCACCCCATATATTATTATCCAACAGTCACCACGCGTCATGTGGCTTGACACTTCTTCCGGTAGGAAATACGTACTTCTCCACGTCATGATTATAATAGTATAAATATGTACGTAGATGTATAAATTATTGTCATTAACTTTTAATATAAATTATTTATAGTACGATTATTATTTATTTTTTGAGTATTTTCTAGACTACGACGTTCTTAATAAAACGGTATTATTTGATTGCTATAGTTTTTTGTCCTGGCTATAGAAAACGGTTATTTTTCCACAGCTGTTGGACAATTTATCAAATTGTTATATTAAAATAATAATAATAATAATATTATTATTATTATTATTATTATTATATTATTTATATTGTTATTATCATCTTAACAATAATAATTATTATAAAATTTAAGTTAAATATTACCCAACTATATAATAGTTACAGTAATTATTTTATATATTTATTTATTTATATATATATATATTTTTTGTTACAGTGTCAGATTTCACTCAAGAGTTGTCCCAAATGTACGAACAACACGCAGCCGAGCTGCAGTTGCTGGTAACGAATTTCCGAAAGAAAAACACCGATCTCAGGAAGGACAGGTATATCTTCTATATAAACATATACTTACACCAATTATAAAGATCGTAGAATGGAATGGAAAGCATATAGACTTTGAAAGTGAATCGGACGGAAAGGAGACTTTTTTTTGTCTAGAGACAGAAGTACAATAGTCGGGTTACCGTCAGGAAAAAAAAACCATAGTTAAAACGTAGAAAACATGTTTACGGTTTCTTGTTTCACTCTTGAAAAATGCGTAATTTAATATTTTTACACACCCAAAAAAAAACTGCAGATCTCTAGAGAAATACGAAACGCCCTATTTTTATTTTACACTCGGAAAAAAAGAAGAACAAGATCTAATAATTTAATGAAAATTAGTATTAGCTTAAATATCATCGGTTTTTATTTTTTTTCAGGCCTTCATTCCCTAGCCAATTATTTTACACATGGGAGACGTTCCTGCAAGAAGTAGAAACGGACTCAAAGTCAATCAGTAACGTAGCTAGTGTACTTGGTCGGCAAATTTCTAGACCACTTTTAGATAGGTCATTCCATCGAAAAGTACAGTCACGTAAGGTATTCAGTCAAAGAGATTCATTGGAAATGATTTTACAAAAGTCAGAAGATAAACTATCAAAAGTAAATATTCAAACTATAATATTATAAAAAATATCTTTTTAAAATTAATTATATTTTAATCATGTTTTGTAGGAAATATTAAGTTAAATTAAAATTTATTTAGTTAAAAGATCCTCAAAGTACCTCTTCAATTCGTTTTTCCTGTTTTTTTTTTTTGCATTTGATTCACATAAAAATCCAATTATTGGTTAATTTTAAGTTGTGAAATACTTACCAATGATGTTGACTATATAGTTTATTACAAACTTAAATAAATATTTTAAAAACTTAAAAAATACGTATAACATATTAAGTATAGGTACTAACTCGTATTAGTCAAAATATCCCCCCCCCCTCGAAAAGTATCACAATTGTTTATAATAAAATTGTGTATTATGTGCAATATACAATTAGATTCTGAAATTTAAAAATAGAAAAATTAATACCTTTATAATAGAATAAAAAGAAAATGTACGCGAAGTAAAAATGTTTTAGCTCATACTTATTAGGATTTTATTTCATTTATTAAGTTTGGTTCCCAAATTACAAGATTGGGTGCAGCCGGTGCAAGTACTCCAGCTGCATCTCCACTTAAAAAAAGAAATCATTAAAAATTTGGACTTGCTATGCAAATTTTTAAAGTGGTATACAAACCAGAATAACTTTAGCATGAAAAATTAAGACTTTAGTTTAATTAAAAGCCTAAGCATGAGGGGGGGGGGGTTCTATAATATTATTATTATGACATGTACAACACTATATCGTATTGTAATTGTTAACCTGCAGTGTAGAGAAGATTACAAACGTTCTTTTCTCGCTCAGCTGTCTTCTCCAAACAGCTCAGCGTCTTTATCTTCATATCTCGATGCCCACAACGCCTACGTCACTCAACTGCATGCCACTAATGGTATGGTTGACCAGTACAACCAATACGTACTACCGCAACTTTTACAGGTAATGGCCAGTTTCGACCATACTACATTTATGTATAATAAATTGCTACGGCAATAATAATTTAATATTGTCTCACGATTTCTTATTCCGTTTTTACCCATATGTAGGAATTAGAAGACGTTTACTCGGACTTGTGTATGTCCCTGTCGGACGCGGTTCTTCAAGGATCCGACGTCATATACAACAAGGTACTAAATAATATAAGAAATAGATTACTACATGTTTATAGTAATAATCAAACATACACTTAAATCAACATAGCTATTCAGTGAAGATTTGTTAATTCATTTAAATATGTTGTGCGCAGTCCAGTGATCAGTCAAAGAGATATAACGCTCTAGGATCTCAATGCCGACAATTGACACCTGGTTCAGATTTGATCGCGTTCGCCCGGTCTCTAACGCCTCTACCTACTACGCCGCACCCATCACAGCGAACTCGAAGCTATTGTCCACCACAAGCTCCGGCAGACACCGAAGGATTGATCTTAGAACCTGGAGTAACGGTAAGTCGATCGTCAGATATAAATGTCACGTCAAGAACGTGTCAAGGTTTTACTCTTTTAATTTTTTTTCAGGAGGCTATAGCTCAATTGGCGCTAAAAAATGAACTAGTTGTAGACAGACTTGCTAGTTTGGATGTGAGAGCTGGATACGATACTATAAGAGCGGAATTGATGGACCTCGAGTCTCAGATGAAACAAATACAAGATTCGGTGGAAACGTTTAAGCGCTTACAACAAAGGTTTATTTAGTGACATAGAAATATATTATATATATTTTATTTAAATCAAAAATTGGTGAACTAATTAACAGTCACGAGTACTGAACTACTGAGTAAAAATATATTTTATGTTTAAAAAATTGAATCCGTCCATGAATATGCTCAATTATATTATATTTATATGTATGTTTATATACATATATGTTTAATATCAATTCATAAATGCTCCCAGTCAACACAGACTCATAAATTTATTTATGAAATGGTATAAAAATAAAACAATATTTTTATATTTATACATATTATATTATAGATACTTTAAAGTATCCTATTTAATGTAAGATAATACTCAAATCTTGCGTAACTTTAATAGGCAGAACTTTAAGTGACATAATATTATTTTAACTCACTAAATAGTTATGCAATACGAAACTCCAGATGTCACATAATCAATACATTTATGGTGAAAATGTCGTCATCAGTGTTTTAGACACAAGCGTCATCCCTAACTTAGACTAAACCTATTTTAATTAGTAACCTGCTGGTTTTGGAAGTTAAAACTAGAAATCTAATGTTATTCGTATACTTATCGAGTCTTATGTACTATATTTTATTATAATATAAGGCTGTGTTTCAGGATAGATATTAAAATAGTACGGTCTTAAGAACGGACAACTTTTAATCATATTACAATTGTATGATTTCTATAGGTATATAGATCCTATAAACTCATAATCTAGCATTAGTAATATTTATCAACTGTATAAATCTTTGAGCAATTGATTTCAATATTTTAAATTAATATAATCATAGCTATTAATATCAATTAACCACTTTTAGTTTCAATTTTTTTTTCTCGCTGACTGAATTGTCAAATAGATAAAAACAAAAAACTTTTATTTTATCATCTATTGTATGAAAGGTGCTATATGTGACCTATATAAAAAAAAATCATTTAACTCAATAATTTCCTATTTATTTTTATCAAAATTTAAAATGTTTAATTTTTAGAATAGATATATTGTTATATTTACTTAAACCAATAACTTTTCCATCTATACCTTGATTAAAATGTTTTTATCTTATTGAATTCACACTCAATCTGTTAAATATATTCAGTATACGATGGTGATGAATAATGAGAAAATATGACTGTTAAACAAGTTATTATTTTTAAGCTGAACAATTTTTTTTAAAACTTAATTTTTTAATATTTATTTAAAAATTAATTACACTGATACAATTTTACTGAGTTTTAGACATTTCATTTTTTTCCTTTGGCTTTCGTTTTTAAAAGTAATTAAAAAGGTAGATACAAATAGCCATATACAAACGTATATGCTATGCAGTCTCCTAATTTTTGGCGAGGATTCCTTAATTTTTCTAAATTTTATGAGGTATATCGCTATATACTAATTCAATTTGTATTAGAATTTAAACTCAAGGTTTTGACTTTTGAATAAAATTTACTTAAATTCGTATTTAATAATTAATTGAAAAAAAATTAAAGTTTAAGGTGTTTATTAAAATATATACAAGTTATATAAATTTTAATTCGTAATGTTTAAAATTTACATTATTTAATATTATGTGTTTTAGTTTTAATTTTAGATATGCAATTGTGTTTTTATTTATTGTTCGATGAATTTAGTTTTGTTATTCATCTTTTCACGTTTGATAAATTCTTCACATTACGTGGTATAAAATTAAATGTAATTATTTGTAAATTGACTTTGTCTGTGTATAAATTATATTTAAAACATGTACAGCGTTATATAGGTACATTTTACAGTTTTAAATTCCTATTATAGTGTATATTAATGTTCATTCTTCTGTTTTATAATTTTACGAGTATTTACTGAGACAATGATAGATCCTATTAATTTGCACAATCAAATTAGTAAAATAGCTAAAATAAATCGTGTTTTGATAAAAATGTATATTTTGTTATCATACTGATGTTCTCTATTATAGGTGTTTACAGGACTCTGTTATATGGAAAATCACACATATATATATATATATTTATATATCCATAAATTTCAAAGTTTCGAAATGATAAGAGTTTAATGTTCTATAATAACATAAATAGATAAATCACACACCTTAAGTATAAAATCTTATAAAATCTTTTTTAGTTTGATTACTTAGTTAGTTTTAATGCTTAAAACAGACTTATTTAAATGCAGGTGTTAGCTGTTATCAAATCGAATAGCAATAGTATTTAAAATTTAAGCTATTATTTTATTTATTTATCTCGTGATATGACTGAATAAAAAATCTTTTCACTGATATACTAATGACTATTGGTTTTAGATTTAAAAGTAATTTAATTAATAAAATGTCAAAAAAGGCAAAAAAAGCATTTAATTTATAAAAAATAAATTAAAAAAATTGAATAGTTTGTATATTATATATTTTAACTAGTTTGTTTTAAAAATAAAATTGTGAACCGATTATCAATTTTGAATCTAATATCAATACGCATTATGAACATATTTTAATCTATAGATACGTAGCATGGGTCCTTTTATAAACGTTAAATTAACTGGTAATACTAAATATACTCGATAAAGTATATTTTATTGATATTGATAAATATTGCAGAAAATAAAACCTATTAAAAATAATTGACAAACGACAATACACCGTCTTCAGAAGATCTTTTCGATTTGTACCGTGAAGACGCTGCATGTTGTGTTTAAAACTGTCATATCTATTAAAAATTAAATACAAAAAAGGCATTTATTAATCAAAATTGCATTTATAAGTAAAAAAGGCAAAATACACACTTTTATTTAAAAATTATTTTTCTATTATTATTAAAAAAAAAAAAGAAAAAAAAAGTTTTTTTTCCTTAAAAGCCGAACCCTGCTGTTTACATAACATAAGCGTTGTAAAATGTATCGATTGTGTAATTGCATTAATTTTTGTTAAAAGTCATACATATAATAATAATTTAATATGGTCAAAGGTTGTGATGGTATAGTAGTAAAACAAATTAAGTGATGTAAAAAATGTCTGAAATTTGCTTCAATATTGAATGACATTTATTTATAATATTGTCGTGAAAATTGTTGTCGAGATTTTAATTCTGATAATAGTTATTGTTCTACATATTGTTTATTATTATTAATTATTAATTATTATTATTTTCTTTTTCTTTTTATATTAATGTTATATTTGATAACCGGACTGGAGTTCTATCAAAACATACTATTATTATTATTATCGTTATTAGTTTGCATTTGGTTGATGTCAGATTATACAGTGAGAAACGACATATTATCACACTACTACGATCTACCAGATACATCACACCAGTTTAATCATACAGAAACAGCAGCAAACGGATACGAAAAAGCATCGTTTCCCACACCCAGCTCACAACTAACACCGACCCGAATATTAAAAATTTATCTTCGTCGTCTCTGCGCGTGATTTACCGAAAAAAGTCGACTATATAGTATATACTATTTAATTTAAAATTTTTTTCTATTTAGTTATTAAATTGTATTATAGTGTTATGGTTATTTATATTCCATAGTAAAGTCGTTATCTTTTTGTAATATTTTTTTTTCTAACAACGCAGTACGAACGAAAATCAAGCTGTAAACTATTGTTTCATTTTTTTTCCTTCCTCCTTTACTCTCACTCGGTTTTTCTCTCTTTCCCTCTCAGAAACGGATATGTATATTCATTTATTATTCACATAAAATACGATGTTATATATATTAAATAAAAATACATGTGAGGTTAGTATTATATATCTATATATATAAATACTACATACCACGAAAGTGATTGAGTCCTCTTATGTTATCCGGTTTAATCGTTTGTAATTTTTATATTCGAACGATACTCGTTTTGTGGATGATGATTAATCGAATTCAAATACGTTCAACCGCATCACGGTATACATTACATTATCCCGGTCAATCAGTCCTGTAGTCCCGTACAACGTTTACTAATCGATCCTTGTATATTTGAAATTGTGTATAGACAGTGGTAGTATAGTTGAAGTATAGTGTATAGATAGTTGAGGTGGAGGTCCGTAAATCAAACGAACTGAATTCATACAAGCCTATAAATCATTTATTTTATTGTTTTGCTTCGTTGTTTCTATCAAACCAGTCACTAGTCGTTTGATATAGTCACGCGGATGTTGGTGCAAAGTCTGTGGCGATACAAAAACTAATTATTATTAAGTATGAGGCTTTAGTAATATAGTGAAACCTCAATAACTCAAACCTCTATAAGTCGAATTTTCGATAACTCAAAGAAATGCCTTAGCCCCTGCCTTACGATATGTGATAATAATTGTGATAAATTTCCTCGATAATTTGAATTTCTAAATAACTACAAGTAATTTTAGTTGAATTTTGGTTTATAACTCGAATTTTTGTTCGGCTTACAGATATTGATAACGCCAAGGATTTGCCTTTACCTAAAATTACTCTTTTCAAGGCATTAGATATGGTTTACAGGTTGTGATTAAATATATTCAAGAACAATGAAAAATTTTAGACGAGATTTTTTCCGTGCTAAATATAATTTAAAACTTTACTGATATAGGTCATCATATCAAACAATAAAAAATAATCTAAAATATTTTATTTATCACATAAAAATTACATACATATTTATAACTTTATACTTTTTTTTAAAATTTTAATACAATGTATACATACATACGTTATACATTTATTAGTTAATATATATGTGAGTTATCGAGGTTTTACTGTATAAATATGTTGACTCGGTAAAATTATTATTTAACAACAAAATTGTTTAGTATTCGAATGATTACTAGATTAACGTTTTACAATTTGTTTGTCTATAACAGCGATTCTTCACTTGTGGTTCGCGCCCCCCTGGAGGTTCGTGATACATATGTTAGGGATCCGCAACAACCTTAACATATAACATACGTCAATACGTGGCATGAGCGCATTATTACAATATTGTTGAATTCTTATTTGTTTTTTTTTCATGTATAATATACCTTATAAAATAAAAAT